ATCCCGTACTCGGATCCGAAACATAGATTTTCCGGATTTTCTAAGGGTTATCATACAATATAGCTAAAAAGATCGCTTATAAAATTTGCAATAACCGACCGAATTTTTCTAGTCGGATTCCAATGCAATTCCGTTTCCCAGAATCTGATCGGATTTGTTGACCTGGGCATGCACTACAGGTAATATTTCCGGTGATGAGTGGCTGCCTCGATGCGTGTGATTTTTTAAATGTTATCGCCATCTTCCGAGCGCTGACTTTTGCAAGTAATAGTTAGAAACTTGAGTCTCTAATGAGATGACACATTGTACTCGATAATTATCTGCATTCATCCTTGGACATTACTTCTCAGTTCCGAAGGAAGGAAATGCTATTAGTCACTTTATAACGACTACATATCGAAACGATTATATCACGAGCAAAACAAGCATGAATCAAGAAAAGTAGTAAGTGTCATGTTTTTGAGTTTTTCCTATTTCCAATAGAGGCATACAATAAACACTGACGAAACTACGTCGGTATATATACATGTATATGATAAGCTCAATGTACATTTCATTTGCAGTACACAAAAATGCGTTATCGTGCACCAAGTTATGGAATTAAGCCTCCAGCAGCTGCTCCTACAAGTACAAAACGAACGTTGCTTATCATTTGTGCAGGAATTAACATTGTGGTTGGTTCCGTATTGATCATTCTCGGCATTGGACTTGGAGTAGGACTTGGATTAGGTTTACAAACCTCAAGTTCAAGTTCAAGTTCGATTCAGTCCACATGCAGTGCTAAAGCTACGTGTGGTTGTCCGTCTGTTCAGCCTACGATATCCTCTCGTATTGTGAACGGAAACACTGCGGCATCAAACAGTTGGCCATGGATGGTTGCACTCAACATGACCAATGGTCGACTCTGTGGTGGTACATTAATTACCTATCAACATATTCTTACCGCAGCACATTGTGTATACGATGTAACAAGTGATTCAATCGTTGCATACGCAGGCATTCAGAAGCTTTCAGAAAAGTCAAGTGGAGAGATACGGAGTATTTCTACAATCACTATTCATCCGAATTACTCCAATGTCACAAAAGTAAATGATTTGGCAATACTTAAATTGTCCTCTCCATTGAGTGCCGGAACAAAAATTGGTTTATGTTGCTTACCGTCAAATAATGCAACACCTACAATCGGTGATACACCTGTTTATATCGGATGGGGTCGAACAGCAGCTGCTTCTAATTTCTCCGACAATCTACAACAGACAACTACACGTGTGGTAGCCTCATCACTTTGCAACTATACATCAATAACTGACAATCAAATATGTACTGGTAATACTACAAGTGTTGCATGTTATGGTGACAGTGGCAGTCCTTTAATGATGAAAATCAATAATGCATGGACATGTGCCGGGGTGGTGAATATGGGATTATTAACTTGTGATTCTTATGTTGTTTTCATTCGAGTAGCACCGTATACCTCGTTTATCTCAAGTGCAACATCTGGATGACATAGTTTGATAGGAATATTTTTTTTATTTGATAATTAAACTGCATTGTGAACGAACGTGAAAATGAATTGAGAGTGCTAAACTTCTTGAATCAAATAGCAATAAAAACTTTCTTATAGTACATCAAACCGGCAATTAACGACCAAAAAAATGCTCCATAGAGATGCATAGCAAGTTGAGCAGCATGGGTATCACTAACATCGAACTGTACTGGAACACTGACGCCAAATAGACCGTGACACATGTATATAGCAATGGAATTCATGCCCAACCAAAGAAATGGAGCGCCAGTGAACCATTGACGAACGTCAACAAGAACGTAAAGCACAGAAAGAATGACGAAAGCTAAACTAGCTAAAGTAAAGACAAATGTTAATGACCATAGATTTTTGTTGATTGGTATCCAGCTGTCTGAATGGCCGCCGAAGGATAGACCTAGACCGAAACAACCGCAAATGATACTCCATATTAACCATTGAGAACAAATTCGATGAACACGATTTGAATGAACAAAAATATGACCAGCTTGAACACCCAGATAACAAAGAAGAATTCCAGTTAAATTACCCAAAAGACCTGAAAAAATTGTCAGAAACATCTTTCCATAACGAAATCGACATATTCACCCTCAGGGTCATAAGGTAGCTTGGTGGAGTAGATTTCTTTACAAGTTGGCTCATCGTACAGATGAGAATTTCCTAAGACTACTCGATCGATATATCCTGCAGCTCCTATAAATAACGCATTTCTCAAAAAATCTTTGCATGAAAATAGTCACACCTCCAGTGCAATTTGAATACTTTCCGTGATCATGTTTTCCACCGGGACCTATATATCCAGTCGGACAGTCGGGCACCTGAAGGAGAAATGTTATCAAGACCCAAATAATCACCACCAATGTCACGAGTAACCATTGAAGCCAATACTGAAACACAGCTCGATTGAATTCCACACGAAACGATGGTTCTTGATGCTCATCTTGACTGTTTAGTTTATAATCTTTATCAAGGCAAAGAACGAGTATCGCTGTAAAGAAATAGCATGTAGCTAATCGTTGAAGAACACCGCAAAAACGAATATCTCTGAATTTCATCAAATGAGGTTGTTCACTCATCCCTACAAAACACATGTCTTGGACATGAATGCAATATAAAATAAGCTTGATTTTACCCAAAAGTATCAGAATGAGCGTTCGTCGACAGATTTTCACGAGCATACTCCGTTTTCGAACATTTTTCGAGCGAAGTGATCGTTGGGAAAGGACAATCGAGACGCCCATCATCCAAGTAAACCAAGGGAAAACCAGATCAGCCAATGTCAATCCGTTCCAAGCTACGAAATGAAAACGAAAAACTTCATTTTTTGACATATTTCATATCTTACTCGAATGATCGAAAAACCAATAACCACCACCTAAAACAAAAAACGGTCGAATATAGAATGTATTTGTAACTATTGAATGAAAGTACCGCCGTAGTTCACGAAAATCATTACCATCAGTGAAAATCCTCGAAAAGTGTCCAAAGAACGCAGGCGTTTTGTAGCACGAGATTTCGTATTGGACGCAGCAGATTGATTTGTATTCAGACTACCTTGAGTAGTATCTTCAACAAGTATTTGAGCTTGTGTATCAGTCGAGCGAAAATAATTCCAAATTCGACGATAGTCAATGTATTGCCAGAGTTGAACTACTGTAGTATATAAGATCACAAATAGAACACCAAGAATAGCAGGTATTGCATAAGCACTCAGTTTTCCAATCTGTTCGATTGAACATTTCGTCTCGAGCGGTGTGTTATATATAAGATGCAACACATATGTACCATGTTCATGGAATTTGTATGATTTAAATTGGCATAGTATACTTTCATTGGATTCTGATGAACGAATTTCTAAATCGTACGCGTATTGTGTGTTAATAATTATAGTGCGATTCTTATTTGGAGCAATCACAGACATTTTCCCAAGATTACAGTTTTCACATATCAAAGTCGTGTTAATCGTCGAATTAAGAATGATTCTAACTATACTCTCATATAAATGTTCGAAGTACAAGAGAAATTCTAAAACCTATCGCCAGACCTATTGACAATTTCATCATGAATTAAGAAGATTTTCGGAATCTCTTGTAAATAGTCGCCTACGGATGCGAACACATTTTTTTTGTCTGTCTTGCGCATCAAAATAAAGCGATAAGACTCCTTAATTGGTTTTAAAAATCCACGGTTTGATTAGATTGATATTTAGAACGAATCGAATGGTGTTTTTTTCGAATAAGTATTTGCACGTTATTTTGGACTACTAAACAACAAGCCAGAACGAAACAGTGCTAGCTCTATCCAGTTTAGTTTGGGTGAACTATACATTATTTATCTGATGTGATGACGATAGAGCAGCGAATATTAGAAAGTCATAGTAGAATAGAGAAAAAGAAATACATGGACAATTTTGTTCTGCAACTACTATTAGTCAACCCCACAATCTGCTTATTCGTGGGTTATGAACATCATGACAAATAAATCTTCTGCATTCTAACAAAATCTCATTTACAGATTATGCGCATCTTGCTTACCCCCGTTAAGATTTTCATGCACTCCGTTCGTCTATAGTCGATATACAATACTCATGAGATTCATTTGAGAAAGAGGAACACTTTCGCGGATACTCAACGACGGTATGATCCGAAATAAGTGGCAACATATTTGACTTTGGAGAAGTCCTAGAGTATGATAAATTCAAAAAATACATATGTTCACGGTTTTTCCTATACACTTATGTACGCCTCACTGAAGTTTCAGCTTACAATATTCAACATACCCATGCATTAAATAACTCTATGACAAGGATAAGGTTTACTATCGGACACTTAGCTTTGGGAAAAGTTTCTATATTTCATTGAACGTAAAATAGGCTTATGCTTAGTTTAAAAGTCTGATTTTGAAGATATTCGAATTACCATTAGAAATATACAGACATATCCGAAAAGTTGTGATTGTAGCTCNGTGCAAGGTCAGGGTCCTTTTATGTCACGCTGTTACGCGACACTAAAATGATCGCAGAAATACAAGAGCTCAAGCGAAATCTTTGATTTTTTTATGATTGATAGAGTTTAACGAGCTGCATCTATGAGCGTTTGAACGAGATCCGTAACTTTTATAGTCTTCGAGAAAATCGAAAAATACTTTGTCAAAATGTCACAACGTTACGTTTGGACAAGCCGCTCTTTAAACAAGATTTATCCATCCAAACCGACCCTTTTGCAAATGACATATTTTTGTGAGAAACATTTGATAGTTTTCTGCTCGGTTTTTAAATGTGATGGTCTTCGATTCAGTCGATGTACTTCTTTTCACTTTCTCGTGTCATAAGGAATCAGATACTCGGATAGTAAAGACAAATACCATTTCCTTGTACTTTTCGAACATTTTAAAAACTGTTTTGTATATATTTAGAATCTCTTGTCAATTTTATACGAACGAATTTCCTCGCGTTAATATGGACAGCGCTCTCGATCTCTTATCATCGTTGGTTATGGTTTCTTGCAGTCTCTTTGGTTTGATTTGTTCGCTGACTTTCATTATCATTGTTGTTACTAACCGTTCACTTCAAACAGTCACCATCATGCTCGCCTTCAACTCCGCTATTGCTGGTTTTATCATCAATGTCACTAGCGGATGTCAAGCAATCTACCAAATCATATCTGATGGCAACGACCAATTCTGTTCATTTCGCGGCTTTCTTCTTCATGCGGCAACTGGTCTTCTATATCATACGTTATGTGTTCAAGCACTTCGAAGTCTGTTTGTTGTTGTGTTCTCAGCACAACGCTCTCTGCAATCAAAGCCAATAATTGCTTCTATCACGATTGTTCAATGGTTGGTTTCGATCACGTTTGCAATTCCCTCTCTGGTACTAGGTAGAATTGTTTATCAGGCAGGTAGTCGTATCTGTCAGGTATGGTAGAAAATATCAATGAAGAAATCAAACTATTCGTTTCGATTTTGACTTTAGGCGTCACTGAACGACCTGGTTATTTTCTTATACCTGTCGTTTTTCATTTATTTCGGCCCAGTGGCTTTTATTCTCTCGATTTATGCCCGAATTGTATATTTCGCGAAACATCGCCCTTTTTCAGTCAATGTACAAACTCGAATAGCGGATGAACGTCGACAACGTCGTGAAGTTCGATTCGTTCGTCGACTTCTGATTATCGCTATGGTCACCGGCTGTATGAGTTGTCCATATATACTCTTCTTTCTTCGTACTCAAATTTTCTCAAATGCCGAGCGCTTACCCTACGCACAACGAGTTAGTTTCATCTTTCTTTCATTTGGATACGCTATATGGATGTTAGTGAATCTGACATACACGGATGAAGTAAGAAAGCATCTATTCAGCAAGATACAATGTATTTTACCACAGTTAAAACGTGGACGGGTGGAGCCTGGAACGACCACGTATACTAATACGCGCGTCATGCCGTAATTATGACATGACTACAGTAAAAAATTGTATTCTTCTCTAGCGGATGTTTATATACATTCGTAATATGCCAATAAATGTTTAATCATAGATATTTTCAAACCTGACAGGCTTTCTCCTAATCGCCGAGAGTCGAATAAAAAACAATCTACTGTTAACCATTTGCAAAGTCAGGTTTTTCATGAATAGAAAAGAGTAACTGATGTCATGCATGACAGTATCATTCGATATTAAACCGTAGAAATAGGTCAACACTTGAGTGGAATATTTATTTTCTCGGTTTAACCATCGAAAATAAGAAATTCCTCAATCAAGATCAATATTTGCATCCGATGTCATTATGTTTTCCGGACGAACTTGATTATCATTAGAACAGCAGACATATTTGATTGGTCGCCAATATTTTTTCTTGAAAATATATTTCACTTGCCGACGATACCGTGATGACGAGATCAGAAAAATATAAAAATTCAGCTACAAAACAAATTCTTTTCATTCGGTTGAACAAAATCAATAAGAAACAAATTACCGCGTAGTTCGTATTAATAATCGAATAGAAAATTACTTGAATCAATCGTTCGATTGCAGATCGGAGTGCATCGACCTGTTTCGTGCTGATGTTTATCGAATACACTCGATAGCTTGTATAAGGGATCGAAACTGCCACAAACCATCCAACACGGATCAAAACCATCGCAGTTATCTGACGATCGAATCGCCGACGTTCAATCGGAGTTTGTCGACGAATAATACGACGAACGTTTCGGTAAGCCAATAGGCTAAACAATGACGCCAATGCAATCGGTAGAAAGCCATAAAGGATTGGATAGAAAAAGTATGTTCCATATCTTATCCATTCAGAATTTGATATATAACACCCTACTGTCGGATTAACGTCTGCAAAAAGACCGAATATGAGACTATGAACAAACCAAAGACATACACTCGTCAAGACGAGATATCGAGCTAAGTTCAAATTGCAGAATTGCCTCAAGCTCAGCCGATAATTTGTCGAACAATATTGATCTATAGCAGCAAAACATATCATAGAAAATGTTGTTAATGTTCCTGTTTGGAAGGTAATGTATCGTATTCGGCACCAAAAGAGCGAATAGTTAAGAGATTCATCACCGTATACAAGGGAAACGATTGTGATTATTAAGATGAACGTAACATCGACTAAATCAGATACAGATTCAACTATTAAATAAAACCCACATCGATTCTCGCGAAATGGTTTCAACTTAACAAAAACCAATAGATTGATAACATTGCTTATAATTCCGGCAATACTTATGATGAAATTTGAATACAACGAATATTGAAAAGCGAATGCTTGAATTGCCGTTGACGTCATTGTACGCCGATGTGAGTGGAAAAAGTCACCGCGATGGGGATTTCTGTTTTGCTCTTTTTTTTATGCTCTTGCTTTGAGATCTGCTGAAGGATGTCAATTATGAAATATATTTGTTGCCAGTCATGCGATGATTTGCCATGACATCACTGTCAGACGTTGTTGAAGAGGATAATATAAGAACTAAATAAAACAAAGTGAACGTTGTGTCTACGTTTTGAATACCTTATCTGAGAAGATAGAAGAAATAAACGCTTATCGCACTTCATTGAGTATATGCGACAGTGTCTCTGCTGTAGTTTTACTCAGACATTTGACGTGCGATAAAGATTTCAATCTCTAAGATTATATGCGCGCTTTCAACTCTGACGGATTTCTATATTGTTACGATCAAATACACTCTCATAAAAGAATAACAGTAGAGACGGTCCCTATTATGAGAGATTTTTCACATACGGAAAGCCAAAAATCGATCTTATTTTCACGTAAAATATATGTCATGGTCGGCTTTGAGGAAAGCAGATATGCACTTTGTTAACTAGTGAGAAGAATCTATTGTCGAGTGAAGTACAATGAACTATATTCGTGCATAATATATATAAAAGATTATTGAAGGACGATGACGTTATATGATTGATGAAAAACGTGGGTTGAAATGAGCAGACTTACGTCAGTGTTCCTTTTTCAACAGAGATCAACCAGTTCAAACTGTCGAAAATATTCTAATAATTAACGCTCCAAACGACTTATCAATACGTGGTATAATAAGCGTCTTTGATGAAAAGCGGAATATGAAAGAAAGAACTACGTCTTTCATTTGCAACTTCAGTCGTTTCGAGGGATGTCTGTAACATGAAATTGCACCGAGAAAGTAACTTCAGATGTGTTTTTTGTTCCAAATCCTCCATTTTAGAAAGTCACTATACTATGAAACGTAATTAATCAGTTAAATTTGCATGGGTACATTCAATCGTACAAGTTTTTTATACTAATAGACTGAATTAGAGAGAAAAGAAGAAGTTATTTTCATCTTTGTTCTGAGAAAAATCTGTGATATTAAAAAAACCATTGTATCACTTGATGCTTACGTAGCGTCTTGAACTGCTCCGATTATTTAATCTTTGATAAGGATTTTCTAGTGGACTTAAGTCACCTTTCCCGGACACATTTTTTTTACAGACTAACGTTTTAGTTCCTGCCACACAACACAAGCAAACGTGACAGATTTCATACTAAATCCTGAGGTATAGTATAGTTCGTGAGTAACCTTCTCGCTACTATTTGTAATTTTTCATTAAGTGGAAGGTGAAAAAAAAGCGGTAATCATGTGAATTTCATTTGGCGTATTAGTAAAAAAGCAAGATGTTATCTTTATTAAACTTAAATACGCAAGTTATATTGACGCCATCAGCGAAATGATGAAGTACTACTAAATTAATGTGCCATGGAATCGTATACTTTTAAAGTTTTATTGCAATAATATGTAGCAAACGATATTTTTATTTTGCAATTGATTTTACTTGCAAAGAAGTTCCATCCTACTACAATTACGTGGGTGTATACAACAGTAGTATGAATTACATCAGCTGGCGAATGCATTTTCTTAGACTCGTAACTTTTTACGCCACCACTCGATGTTATACAAAGAAAACGACTTATTTACTGAAAATCGTACTTTTTCATTCGTGAGGGTTCATCGAACTTGAGGGTGGTGAATGTGACTGCACATATGGTGCACACAAATAGAAAGAAAAAAGTATGTTGACTGTGCTAAACTAGGAAGCTAATCGACTGTTACAATCACGGAATGTTTCTACACAGACAAGCCAACTGCAGACTAACGCTTTTGTCAGTGCAGATGTTACAAAGTGTATTGTACTTTCACTCAAGCGCTACGACCTTTGTTTTCATACACTGACAAACAGCTTTAAATACTCGTGTCTTCGTATATTACTTTTTCAATCTGTGATTGCAAGTGGCTTTCAGCAATGGCAAAAACAAATAGCATTTTCGAAGTTCTGATTGTGTTGTTGGGAATCAACATCCTTACTTACGGTTTGCACACATACTCGATTGATTCTTCATTATGATTTGTAATTTTGTAGTGTCAACGGCTCCAACAAAGAAATGTTCGGTAATAAAAACAGGTCAATATTTTGATGGTAGCACTGGTTCACGAAATGACAATATCAAGTCATCTAGTGATTGTCAAGCCTTATGCGAGAATGATAAGGCTTGTTATGGATATCAATATCAAGGTTCCTCTAGTAGTTGTTGGCTTCAAACATCAATCGGCATACTGTATGATGATTCATCATATGTTGGTGGATATTGCATTGGTAAAAATCCAGAATATAGATGCATTCAGTGTTGAAATTTGTTTTCATAGGATCCGATGCAAAGGTGACCTGCACAGAAAATCTGCCGAACATGTATTATCTCGGTAATAGTGGTTCAGCAATAACCAATGTTGCTACGATCGGGGATTGCATGAAATTATGTGATGCCGACTCCACGTGCATGGGATGGTCGTATTCAAGCCAATCGAAATCCTGTTGGCCTCAAACTACGGTCTATGGAAAGATCTCTGACTCACAATATATGGGCGGCTCTTGCATTAGTAAGTCATTTTGATAAACCGATCGATTTAACGATTCGTGATTTTCCAGAAAAACAAAGTCCATATCCAGCAATTACTCTCGATACATACAGACAACAAGCATTAGACACGCATAATTCCTTCCGAAGTGCGCATGGTGCACCAAACTTAGTGTTAGATTCTGACTTGAATGATATCGCACAAAAATACGCCGAGAAATTAGCTCAAACACGAGTATTCGAACATAGTGGCAATACATTGAACGGAAACGCTATTGGAGAGAATATTTACGAAATCACAGGGTTAAGCCAGCCAATGTATGCAAAAGGTAAGTGATCAACACCGTTTTCTAGTTGCCTCAATTGAATTTACTTCTATATATCAATAGGCTCAGATCCATCTACAAGTTGGTACAACGAAATCAAAGGTTATGACTTTTCCAATCCGGGTTTTGGTGAATACACAGGACACTTTACACAAGTAGTTTGGATAGGTACACAACGTCTTGGTATCGGTAGAGCATTAACAAGTGACAACGCTACTCTCTACACTGTTGCAAACTACTACCCACCAGGCAATGTTCAAGGTGGATATGTCACCAATGTTTTGAAGCCATTGTGAACAGATTCCCATTTATTTCTTTCTCTGAAAAATCTCTCTCAATAATAAACCATTTCGAGTCTCTTAGAGTGACCCACGAATGAATCGAATTGCACCATCCTCAAAATAAATTGTGTAACAGAGAAAAGGAGGAGTGAAGGATTGCACAACCTGCAACTCGACACAACTGAAATATATTTTTGATGAGAAACATAAAAGACGAGCCGCGATCGGTTGCTAACACATTTCAAAAGTTTTGAGACTGAAGCATCACTTTCGGTCCTGTAGGACCACAGCAACTGATCAATTTGACACTCGTTTTTTTTCTTGTTCTACAAGTTCAATGTGTGGATTGAGAAGTATATGCTATTCGATAGTTTTTAAAATAACAAATAGCGAACAGTGGGTGTATTTCTCAGTCAAAATTCAATGCACAAAATAGTTGCAAACAAAGAGCGAATTGCATAGGTGAAATCAGACCTTCGATTTTTTTTTCAACAGACAAATGCATTCTACAGTTAAACAATAATATTTACTCTAGATACTGTTTAATACTTTCGATGTCTTCTCACTTGCAAATCTTCCATATAAAGGCTTGTTATAACACTCTACTGTTTCATACGTGAAATAACGTTCAGAAATGATGTTCACCAGCTTTCTCATCAGTCCTTTATCTATAAGTATTGATCATCGATACAACATATTTCCGTGGCGGATCAATCGTCTGGTGAGCTAATAGAAAATTTTCTTTCTTCTTCCTAACAATCTCGAGATTCTATAGACGTCCATCCGATAATATCCAAGAACGTCATCGTTGACCATATGGCGTCGAAGTTATCCTGACTGCTTCTGCGATAGTTCAAGTATATCCTCAAGAGGCGTTATTGGCGACAATACTTAGATGGTGTGTTTTAAGGATAACTGCAACGGTTCAATCAGTGTCAGTGCATCGTTAATATGTATTGATTTCAGTCCTGCTCTTGATGTTAGTTCGGGTGAAAAGTCGAACATGCAAACACTTCATCAGCTCGGTTTAACAGTCTTGTTGTCGGAAGTAGTACCTGCTGGTCTGTTGTCAGCGGCATTAATACCGGCGTTCGAAACTTTTTATTTCTCTTTGGTGTTACTCAGCGCGAATAATGTTAATGATTTAGAGTTGTCACGCTAACGGTTTCTTTGTTTAATGATACTTTAGTAAAGATCGACATTCAAGCAGACTCTCTACAGAAAATTGTTTTAACGTCTTGAATACACTTATGATTTGATTCTTTCCGCTGTTACTCTATAGAAAGGAGGATATCGCGACGATATGTGGATATTTTCATTACGAACAAAGATTTTTTAGTGCGTTCGATCATCTCGCGGTGTAATGATAACGTATTGCAGCTGCGTTTTGTTTCTACTAAATATGAACATCATATCGACTGATTTTATGTCACACATCTATGTATATGACACTGGGGTTAATCATACTCCGACTAATCCGATCGAACTTGTACAATGTCCAATGTTATGCCATAAAGATGCACGATGTCGCACGTTTGTTTTTGACTTATCATGTTGTCGACTTTACGAAAGTTCTCCTCAAGCTGGTTCTTTTGTTAGTTCAGCATAAAATATTACCGTAGTTGGCTCGATTATCTTTATGATAACATTGATTTAACTCCGAAATATAATCAATCCTGTGATTATTGTGCTCAAGATCGATATTTGGTTTGCCGAAACGATACATGTCAATGTCCAGTACATACTTATTGGACTAACAAAACATGCCAATCACAATCTTTCACAGGGGCACCATGTAACAGTAGTAGACAATGTCGCAATGACCTGGGTCTGGTTTGTTCACGAGAAAATAAGACATATACACGTACGTTATAAGCTTATCGAAATTGCTGAAAGACTCTTTCTTTTTCTATAGCCATGTCAGTTGTTCGAATACCTGTTATCGGTGGAACTTCACAAGCACAATTCTCTAATCTAGGCATCGAACTAAATACAACCGGAGATGAATGGTGGCGCGCTTTCGACAACGACATTTATACTATTTGGAATCCTCATAGTTACCTCTTACCTGACTATCTTTGTATCACGTTCAATGATAAATATTTATTGAGCTCTTTTCAGTTGACAATCTACGATGATGCATGGCATGACCCGAAAACGATTTACATGTACTTGGGCCAATCATTTTCCTATCCAGCGATTAACAACGGTACATATTACCACACATTGTCTCCCATCTTATTTAATATTGCAAACAACCCATTGGCAACTAATCAACTCCTCCTTATGATCAATCCTTGGAAAACAAATCAAGTCTGGGAATGTGAATTCACGTTCTTTGGTGGTCTGTATTAAACACCAGTTCCGATGTTGCTCAAACAGCTGTAAAGAACAGAACTATTTACATGTTCATGATTTCTATCTCTAAATGGAAAAAAACAACCGTGTATATTGATGTATAACATAGATGTACGCTATTTCGATGGAGAGCGTATCGATATGATTGAAAAGGAAATATGTCATAAAATATCATTTGAGTTTTGGGAAAAAATGAGTGCATACATAACGTTTGAAAGTTATTTGCTGACTAGTGATCACACTCGAGACGTGATGGAAATTTAATGACAGAAATTCTTCTTTATCTTGTTCTCTTGTAACACAGAAGACAGTCACATGCTGAATTCCAATTAATAAAAAAACACGCCCAAATCGCTGTTCTGCTTGTGCTTTCTCTGGCCTCTTATTCAAATGAAAAAAAGGTGAAATGTGCACGTGTCATCGACAGCTAATACACAAAATGAATCTGTCAATATGTATACTTATTTTTCATCTACCTTATTATCATTCCATAGGTGGAGTCGAATTATTCACACAGAACATTTATTCCTATACATAGCCGACGAAAAAGAACGTTGCTTTTCCTTCCTACTCTTATTTATCTTTATTTATCGAACCATACACTATGAGTCAAGTATGAAACGCTATTCATTATGCGACTGTGTTAGGTCTATTAGTCCGTTAAATTTAGAGGGAAATAGATACTGTTGATCGACACGTTGGTTTGGATGAACACGTGACTGCTGCTGACATTCTCATGGATGACAATTCAAAGTTATCTTCTAGTGCACCATTAGCAAAGATTCTCTATAAAACGAAGCAAGATAATCGATTAAATATCCTGAAACCTCTGCAAGAATTGTACATTTTCGTTTGTTTGATCTAAGATTTTATAAGTATTTTATGTTTCAGAAAACGTTCTGTTTATGCAACACGAAGTGGAACTGTTCGTATTTTTATATCTTCTACATCTATTTGTATCATGATGGCTATTGGAATTATCATCGTTTGCTTAAACGCACCAAAACCGAAAGGTAGATTATCCATGTATCGGAATTCGAAATGACGTTCTGTTTTAGTATCGACATGCGGATTAAATTTCGTGCGAACGGAAACAAATCCCATTGAATATAATTATGGACCAGTATCCGTTGCCATCGGGGACTTTAATCTGGATACTTGGATCGATATGGTCATTGTCAATTCGATTGTTAGTCGAATCGGAGTTTATTTTGGAAATTCGAATGGAAACTTTGTCAAGGAATACGAGTATTCAACTGGCATCAATTCCAATCCGATGATGGCTGCAGTCGATAATCTCAATAATGACTCATATTTAGATATTGCAGTCGCAAATTATAACCGTCATACTATTGGAATCTTCTATGGATTCGGTAATGGATCGTTTCAAGATCAAATCGAAATATCAACAGGAATTTCACGACCACTATCACTTCATCTAGTTGATTTCAATAAGGATTCATTTGTTGATATTATTGTTATTAATCACGGAACGAACAGTATTAGTATATTCTATGGGGATAGAAAGGGAAGTTTTGTCAATCTATTTACTTATTCAACTGGATATGATTCGTTTCCATACGCATTGACTACAGGAGATCTAAATAATGACAATCGCTTAGATATTATTATTGCAAATTTTGGAACGAACGAGATACATTTAGTGTTTTTTAATAGTAGTAATACGATTCAAGAAACATTGATAATCTCAACCGGTGTCAATTCTCATCCATCGTCAGTTGCTGTTGCAGATTTCAATTCGGATGGATTTGTTGATATTGCTGTTAGTAACTATGGTACGAATATGATCTATGTACTTTTAAATGATGAACATGGAAACTTTTTGGAGCGAACATCGTATTCGATCGATTCTTCTTCGCCATACTCGATCGGCGTCGGAGATCTCAATGGTGACGGTCGATTGGATATATTTACTGTTAATATCGGACTGAACGACACTGCTTTACTTCTGGGTTTGGGCGATGGCAGTTTTTCCAATGCAATGATGAACACAACTGGATCTACTTCGTCCATCTCGTTTGTTTTATGTGATTATAATAAAGATAATCGGTTGGATGCAATCGTCGTTAGTAATGACACTGGAAGTATTGAACTTCTCAAAGGATATTTTGCAGGCTTTCCATCATACGCAACGCACGATGTTAAGTACAATTCGACGACTGTAGCTGTCAATGATTTGAATCATGACGGAATACTAGATATGATAGTGCTCTCTCGTGCAAGTAATATGATGATGATTTCCCTTGGATACGGCAATGGATCATTCCAAAGTCCAACATTTTATTCAACGAGTAGCAATCCATATTCGTTAGCCATAGGTGATTTTAATAACGATACAAACATAGATATAGTTGTTGCCAATCGTAATAGTCATAATATTTGTGTATATCTTGGTAATGACGATGGCACCCTAGGAACTCCATCGAACTATTCAACTGGTTCTGAACCAGCATTTGTAGCCCTTGGCGATTTCAATAATGACGATCGATTGGACATTGTTGTTGCTAATTTTGGCAATAACAGTGTCAGCGTTTTCTTGGGATATGGTAACGGTAGATTTACAAATGAAACGAGATATTCAAGTGGTAGTAAACCGATTTGTGTAGCTACTAGCGATTTTAATAATGATAATCAAGCTGATTTAGTACTTGCCAATTTCAATAACAGAAGTATGACCATTCTTTTCGGCTATAATAATGGAAGTTTTGGAAATCCAACAGTATACCGAACAGGCACGAATCCCTACTTTGTAACAGTCGCAGATTTGAACAATGATGGCCGAGTGGATATTGTTGTGGCCAACTCTGTAAGCAGTACTGTGAGCGTTCTGTTAGGAAGTACGAACGGTACCTTTGTAACGCAAGTTACATATGGAGTGGGTACTTTTCCAGCATGGGTAGTTATCGATGACATTAATAATGACACATGGTTGGATCTTATTGTCGGTTGCGCTAATGTGCCGAATTTATACACTGTATATGGGCATGGTAATGGCTCGTTCGATACTGCAGTGTCATATTACACCAATTCACTATCGTATAGTGTAGCAGTTGCAGATCTAAACAATGATAAACGATTGGACTTGGTTGTAACAAACTCTTATAGTACTTATATAGCTGTATTAGTTCAACCAAGCACAGGTGCTCTTGTTGATGACTTGAAATACGCATCTGGTGGTGGTTCTAAACTACAATCGATGATTACTTGTGATCTAAATAATGATAGCCGATTAGACATGATTGTTGCGAACTATGGTACTGATGATATTTCAATTCTGTTTGGATCTGATAATACAACTTTTCGCAATCGACTTACGATTACAATGGAATTGAATTCTGCGCCGGCATCAGTCGCTGTTGGATATTTCAATAACGATTCCCAATTAGATATTGCAGTAGCCCTTTCTGGTTTTCATCAAGTTGGAATTTTACTTGGAGATGATCGAGGATCTTTCAGCCGTCAAAATACCTATCAGACTCCTTCTGAATCTCCTCCGGCCGTTATTTCCGCTGGAGATTTTAACAATGATGAACAATCGGAAATTGTTGCTGGATATGCTTACAGTGATGTTATTAATATATTAACTATATTCAATTCTGGCTCGTTCGTGAATCCACAGACGTACGCAGTCGACTTACGTCCACGATGCGTAGTTCTAGAAGACATAAATTACGATTCTTATGCTGATATGATGGTTGTTAATTATGATTCTGATACGCTCAGTGTCTTCTTAGGAACGGGAAACGGTAGCTTTCGGTATTCGTCAACCTATTCGGTTAAAAGCCTTGCATTGTCTGTCGTTGTTGGCGACTTCAATAACGACGATCGACTGGACCTAGTTGTTACCAGTGGTGGTACTAACGACATTATTCTATATCTAGGATTGGGTAATGGATTCTTTGAAGATCCGAAAGCCATTACAATTGGCTACAATTCAAGAACTGCAGCAGTGGGCGACTTGGACAATGATACAAACCTCGACATAGTTATTGGATCAGATAGTAAATTACTCGTTGTCCTACGAGGCAATGGTGACGGATCATTTACATCTCAAATTATTTATTTAAATTCTTCTTATCCGTCCGACATACATATAACTGATTTCAACAACGATACTCGATTGGATATCGCTGTTGCTAACTATGCTGTCAATAACGTGGGAATCTTTCTAGGTTATGGAAATGGATCATTTATGCCGCAAGTTACGTATTCGGTAGACGTGGGTCCAGTCTCATTAGCAGTAGGAGATCTAAATAATGACGGTCGACTCGATATTGTTGCAACTACTGTAGGCTATCGTTCAGTGTCGATTTTGCTGGGAAATGGAAATGCATCCTTCCGAAATGTAATACGATATTCAGTGGGCATTCTTCCACAATCTGTCGTCATTGGTGATTTTAATAATGACGGATATTCAGATATAGTTGTCGCGAATCTTGGCAGCAATTCTCTCGGTATTCTCCTAGGATATGGTGATGGAGAATTTATCCCTCAACTTACACAGCAAACAGGTTCTGCTCCAATATCTATCGCTGCTAGTGATTTAAACAAAGATGCTAAACTTGACATTGTGGTGGCGAACTCTGGTGACAACACCGTCACTGTCTGGTTTGGTCAACCCGATCTTATTTTCATTATAGAAACAGAACTATCAATTGGAAATACTTCACAGCCACCATCATTCGTTATTGAGGATTTTAATCATGATACCTACGACGATATAATCATTGCTAACGCAGATTATAATCATATTGGTGTGTTTCTTGGCTATGGTAATTTCTCGTTTGCAAATCAAATAACCTATTCGACTGGTCCATCGTCATCTCCAAACGCTATTGCGACTGGTGACTTCAATCATGATGGACACTTCGATGTAGTTACTGTTAATTCTCTCTCGAACACGATTGGTATATTTTTTGGCGACGGAAATGGTTCGTTCTCTTCGAATCAGACAACATATTCAACTGGTCCATCATCGAATCCCTCTTCGTTAGCTGTTGATTACTTCAATCATGATGCAAATCTTGATATCATTATTGTCAGCTATGACAATAATAAATTCGGAGTATTTCTTGGTCGAGGTGATGGAACATTCGATAATATGATGCCATATTCGATGTCATATGGCTCGCATCCATTCTCGGTTGTAACCGGTAATTTCGGCCAGGATGGGAAAGTCGACTTTGCTGTAGCAAATCAAGGCACTGATAGCTTAAGCATTTACGTTCAAACTTGTTAATACTTTTATCTTTATTGAAAAGAAAAACTCTTCCTATACATACACATGTGACTTTTCTTTGATCGTTTTAACAAAATCTCGTTCGTTTTTGTCTGTTAAATTGACTCGATGAAAATAATGATGATGAGGATTCCGGAGATATTCTTGAATACTCGCATCAGTGGAATATGAACCTTCGAATGTTTGATATTTCGTTGTAATTTTATCAGTAATCATCCATGAAATCGTTGGAGATACGATCTCGTGTATAACGTTACACTTATCAAACACACCCCCTCGCCCGGCTAGAAACAACCAATCGTTCGTCAGGTGTTTCGGTATGTAATAAAGATCACTGAATGAGCCAAGTCGCATATCAGCCGCACCGGCATTAGTTACTAAGTTTTTCATATATCTCCGATATCGTTGGCCATCTGATGTATTCTTTTGGCTTTCGCTATTGATTATTGCAAATGCTTTTTTCGTGTCGGCTAATACTGGATGAACATTCCACATCCACCCTGCTGCACTTCCTTCATGCACCGGAGAACCAAATGGCGGATCGCGTGAACGATAATCTTTTGCTCTCCAAATTTTTAACAGATCAAAAGAAAAAAGATTGAAGAGAATAACCCCCGTGTCGAAAGTTTGGTACAAATAACCATTATAATTCGGATATTGTTCGATAACCCTGGACATGCACACATGATTTCGCCAGGGCAATTCGGGGCAAAGGACGATATTTTCACCTGCAGTGGGCCCAGCGTAAATAACTTTTGGGAATAAATCTTCAAACATACTCAAAAATGCTATCCGTTCGTATCGCGCTTGTCCGAAGCATATCAAAAGTAAAATATGTTCGCGTTCCCAATGTGTCATCCACCGAGCGACGGTAATCTTCTGTTCGATTGACGAACTTCCATATCGTGCTTTGACTGTAATTTCGACTGTGGCATTCCGTGGTAGTTTATCGATTAAATCAGGTGCATTGCAGATAGTTTCATTGTTTGAGAAATAATATAAAGAGCATTTGATTGCGTTTACAGTAAGTTGAAGCTCGGCGTCCTTGACATTGAAGATACCATGTATTTTAAGAGGCCGATTAAGTCGGATAGGATCAATTCTGGTAATTTGAAAAAAACTGTCTGAATGTGAAATGAGAAAAGAAAATAAATTTAGTGGATCGAAATATGATCAACATACTGGTAACTTGTTGTTTTGTGATAACAGTAGTTGTATGTAAGGATTCTGTTGTATTTGAGTTTCTGAATGGGATGGGTCGGATAGTTGTTCGTGTAGATAGAAGAGTAAAGTATCCAATTATTGTGAATAAAATCAATAAAATTATCTTCACTGAACTCGAACGAGTTGCTTCTTCGTCATTCGTCACTGTTCTCTCGATCGGTACAGCAGCAAAGTCATCCCTTTGGAGAATGAATAGATAAAATCCCAGAAGTACGATCAGAACACCCGCATATATATGTGCGTCAACCACACTTCCGAAAAGCAATGAATTGCACAGAATTAACACTACTGTTGCGCACGAAAACGACCAAAGTTGCATGAATATGTCACTGTATTTGTAAACAGCTGAAACAATCAGGCCAATCAATGAATAACATACACTCATCGCCATCATCCACCATGAATAATTTAGTACTGCCAATGATTTATAGAACAAAACGAAGTGAAACATGACATTCAGCGAATATAAAACTAAATTTTGCACCTGTAAATCAATGTTTAAATACTTAACGCAATACTCATTCCCAACACGAGAAACCGCTGTTAATATTGCCATAGTAATCAATATAATATAATCCAATTGAGAAGAACTTTGTTGGCATCCATTATATTGAGAAATTCCTAAGCCAATTAGTTGGAGAGACAATGCAATCCAATCGAAATGATTTATACATCGATCACACAATCCCGATAAGATCAGTAAGGTGAACGGAATTGAAACGCTGGTAGCCAGAGTCGAGATGGTAGAATCCATTGAATTGCTTGAAGAAATCAATAGAGAATTATTACAACAATAAAGAGACGCTATTCCAGCGGAGTACAGCAGAAATCTCCATGTGACTTGTTCGCAGAATTTCGTTGAAATCGTCGAAATTTTTCGAAAGAAAACACAACGATGAACGTCGAATGCCTCACCTGAAATTTGACTATCAGCAGTTATGTAAATAATGACAGTACTGATGAACAATTTCAAAACTTCAGCGTAAAACACTATCGCTGCAAATGATTGACTTCCTTGCTTGATTTGTGGAGATATTTTGTACAGAACACCCGTCAATATTTGCAATAGAGTTAAAACGGCAAAGATTGCTAATGATTTTCTAGATTGAGATGAATGTGGAGAAACAATCATTTTATTGTAAGAATTTCCTTCAAAATACTCGACTATTATGAAGAATGAACGAGGCGAAGCGTACAAGACAAAGCATAGCCTGTTTCTATGGAACTCAGAACATTTATTTTTCTTTTATATCTGTAGAAAAAGAAAAATGACGAGATGGCGCATTTCTTTGCTTTTCATCTTGAAAGAAAAACTAAAAGGTAAATAGAAGATGTGTAATTTAACATTTAATTTATCAAGGACGCCAAATAGGCTTCTCTCCGGTCGATACAACTGGATAGATATCATCTTGAATGGATGAATCTGTGTACTAATGAATCTTTGCAGGAGAATGATTTCGATTATTAGGAAATGCTTTCACAAATGCCTTTTGACATTGTTCGTGGAGGAAATTTTCCAATTCCGGGAAATAGTTTTGCAGTAGTCCAGCTAGAGAACTGGAATGATACTGTTCAATCGAAGAATTGTAGATCATACTTAGCCAACCACCTTCCGATTGATATCATTGGTTAAACCATCATTAAGTTTTAGTTAGCAAAAGCTTTCTAATTGTAATCAACAACTATATCAAAATCGTGATGATAACAATACGTAGAGGTTTATATGTGATGAGTAAAAGATAAAAAAATCCTTCCAGGGGATGGAATAGCAAACTCGTTTTGTTCCATCGAATAAGGCAAGACTTGAATGTTTCATCCCACTCTATCTCAGTGTCAAACGTAACTTGTATGGCTCTCAATGAAGAAGAATACGAAACAAAATGTTCGATAAATAAATTTAAAAAATGGAGTTGTGTGTAGGTGATCGGAACGATTACTTGGATGTTTTCAATATTCAGATATGTTGATATAACGTCTATTCAAAACAATTTGTAATTCTATCGTCGTGACACATCTTAGGCAAACTAGTCTTGTTAAAAGTTTCTCATCACAATGATGCATGAAGTAGAATCACATGACAGAACAAGAAAATCGCTTTTTTTTCGCTCTACCATGCTGTATAATAAAATGCCGTTGTCACTACATGCGGGTACCTCTATATATCAAGTGCAAAGATGAAACAACTGAAATAGATGTGTTGTTTCTTTTGAAAGTCGCTAATCAGATATAAGTACGCGAGAATATAAGGAGAAAGATAAAGAACGTAGACCATAGGTGACAGAAGTTTGTTTAGAAGCAAGATGCAAAGGTAACCAGAATAGGAACTTTATTTTTTTGTCACTGTTCAATAGTTCTGGATTATACACGTGTTTCTAAAGTTTGATTTTGAATAATGATTTCAGATTTCTAATTAATTATAAAACATCGGATAGTCATGGCTAAGTATAGAAATCAATTGCCGCGATTGTCAGGTGATTTCTTTATCACAAATGGTGGTTTGGAAACCAGTTTGATTTTTCATGAAAAACGTGAACTGCCATGTTTTGCCGCATTTATTATCTTGCAAGATGAATCTGGATGTGATTGGCTAAGAAATTATCTGAGTAAGTATGCTGATATTGCTCGACAATATAATATTGGACTTATTTTGGAAAATGTAACATGGCGTGCTAGCCCTGGTTGGTTGAGCAAACTTGGTTATGCGGAAGACGATTTAGTTTATATCAATCAGAAGTCGATAGAGATACTGGATGATATCCGGATGAAATATGAAACGGAAAAATGTCCAATCGTTTTCAGTGCATGTATTGGTCCACGTGCAGATGGTTACAAACCTGGCGTGCTCATGTCGTCGGAACAAGCACAAGCCTATCATGCAAGACAAATCGAAATTTTAAGTAAAACAAAGGCGGATATGGTTACGGGAACGACAATGAATTATCCGGAAGAAGCTATTGGAATGGCACGTGCTGCAAAGCAAGTTGGAATGCCCATTGTCATTTCATTTACAATTGAAAATGATGGAAAATTAGCAACAGGACAAACGTTACAGGAAGCAATTGAGCTTGTCGATGCAGCTACTGATAAGACACCGATCTATTATGTAATAAATTGCGCACATCCCAGTAATTTTGCACATATTTTTCATTCCAACGAAGATTGGAGCAGAAGGATCCATGGTGTTCGAGGTAATGCTTCTAAAAAGAGTCACGCTGAACTCGACGAAAGTACAGAACTTGATGATGGCAATCCGCTAGAATTCGGTGCAGATAATCTAGCTCTTTTATGTAAACTAAAGAATTTGAACATATTTGATGGATGTTGTGGAACAGATTATCGTCATATTGAAGAAATTTGTAAGACATGTATTCCTGTTTTCGATCAAATCAGACTTAATAAACATTATTAGTTGTGATCAGAATTCATCGAAAAAAACACTAATGAACATATGATGGTGTTTGCAATCGAAAACTTCGTCATCTTTTCTTTTAAAGTGTTAATTAATTCAATTTTACACTAGTATAACATGATAAGCGTGGATGCTTCTCTTCACACCCTCACCCTCACCCTCACCCTCACCCTCACCCTGATACATCATGCAAGCTTTATCGTGTTCTGTATATCAGAATAAATAGAGATGTTAATTTTATTAAAAATGCCAGCTTGTTTTAAAAAAATGAAAATAAAAAAGATAGATCATTATTTGTATAATTAGCTTAGATTTGAACGAGCCTTACTGCTTCTGCTGGAATATAAATAAACGGCAACCGACATCTCTTCATGTCGTTTATACTTTCTATCTTGTTAACTAATTGAATTTGCTTTTCATTTAGCAGATGAGCAAGAAATAGTCGATGTAAATTTTTGACAAGATGCTGTCCTAGACATCGTCGACTATGTCCATTGCCAAAACCGTGATAAGCTTTGAGTGGAACAGGTGCATTAGATACATCGAATCGTTCCGGTCGAAATCTCAACGGCTCAGACCATATATCTGAGCTATGATTGAGAGAAACGACATCGAGCATAATCATTGTGTTCTTTGGTACTTGTATTCCACTGATTGTCATCGGTGCACTAGTAAATTCTGGTACGTTGAACATAAATATCGGACATATGCGTTGGCATTCACTGAGTATTTGATCCAAATATGTTGTTGTACTCAGCGATTGTGATGTCAAGTCTAAACGAGTAATAATAATGATGATGACATAACGTTCAAAGATACAAACCTGATAAACTTCGAATTTCCTCTCGAGCTTTTTCTTGAATATCCGGATGCATTGCAAGCAACAGTAATGTGTACATAAATGTTCCAGCTGTACCATCATTAGGCGCAAGTAAACCCTCAATAATCGTATCTGTCAGTTCATCAAACGTAATTGTTGGATCTGAATCATGTGCATAATACTTTAGAAGAGAAATATTCGTGTCAGTATCATGTTCATCAACTGATGAAGTTTGTCGATAGGTATTGATAATCTATGAAGACAAAAATCAAACATCTTGTTTGTTTTCTTGTGAAAAGCTATTACTTTTTTAAGAAGATTACGAGTGGTGGAATTGAACGCACGAATACGTTTTCTTAACGAATAGGAATTAGGCAGAAGATAGTATCCTATGACAGGTATGTTCGTCCATTTGCCGTCAAATACTTCGTTCATCAAGTCGGCAAGTTCATCAACAAGACTATGAAGTTCATCTAGGTGATTAAAGCCAACATCACCGAGGAATAGATGAACTGCAGCATCATGCGCGAAGTATCTTAAATTTTGGTATTGCATCTGTTCAGAAGTATAGGAACGGAGGAAATCAGTTGTCAGTGATTCAAGATGTAGATCGAATCGTCGAAGTTGACTTGGACCGAAGCATTGATGAAAAAATTTTGTTATTCGATTACGATCTGCTATAGAACGAAATCCAACTCCACTACCCATGAGCATCTGAAGTGGCCAACCGAGATGTACATCTCGTTCAACACATTTCTCATTTTGTTGACTCCAGAAATCTTTCACAGCATGATAATGGGCCAACATGAGTGCTGGCTCCGGACCCATGTAAATACGATACGCTTGAGGGCAGCCTAAATCCGTGTGTAAATCATTCAGAAAACGTCCATTCTGACTTGACTGTATAGCTGGTAAATCACCAAATAATGTTTGATACTTTGTACCAACTGCTCCTTTGGAATTGTCAGCTGTAGTCGAAGGCCATTCACCATGTTTAGATACTTTCTCAAGAAATGATATATAGATATAATAGAGTCCGTACGCGAAAACACAGGCAGATAAGATCGGCAACCAAAAGTGTCGAATAATAAGCATTGATAACTAAATCGATTATGAAAAAAGAACAGAGATCATTACAAATGATATGATGCTATCCACCTACTTGAATGAAAATACAGAGCCACAGATAATCCAAATTACCATCAGTGTCGAGCGCTGTTTCTTGCAAAGTTGGCCTACTAGTATCGGCGATAGGTTCTGATGCTGATGATACAGATGACGATTGCGATGAATCGCTCAATTCTTCATCATTGTCGACAATCGATGAACGTGGAATTTCGACGTCGAATATACGACACATGGACATTGTAATTGTAGCATGTGTGAAATAATCTTTCCGCATATGATCAAGTAGGGCAACCATAGCCTCTCGTTGATCATTTCCATTGGAATTATCCGTTTTCAGAACTGGATGCAGCATAAATCGATAAGTATCGCCGCTGTATTCAATACCATTGAGTAAAGCAGGTAGTTCGGCGATGACATACTCGCGCAACATAACGACTTCCTTCGTTTTCAGCACTTTTTTCGGAGACCGTGCTCTGGCATATTCTTGACAGACCTACAAATAATCAATACTAATTAGCGTTCAATGTTAAGAATGGATGTATTCTAACCTTATCAATCAATGGCAAGCATTGCTCCGGATGATTGTTTGTGTACACTCGGATGTCTTCTACACGAGCGTCATAGTTGCTGGACGTGAGCATATCGGTCCAATTGATAATTTGAATCCTTTGACGATCATTCGGCGAGATTTGTTCCAGAACTTGAAAAAAGAAACTTGAAATCTTTTGACCGAGTGATGTAGCTGTTTTTAGTGAACATTCTTCGTTTTTGTGTTCGAATACAGCTACGTTGTATTTCTGTATTTGATCGGCGATGAGGACGACGAGTTTTTGCGATGAAGAAAATTTGCTTAAAGCATAATCGAGAATATGACGAGCAAAACTAATGCTTCTTGGAGTTGATGATAACAATGAGCGAAATTGTGATGGACTAATGGCCACAACGACGAAATCATGATCATCACATTGTTCTTCAATTGTGGAAGTTTGCCACGTTTGAATACAGATGTGTTCCATACTAACCCAAATCAAATCTCAAATGAATGATTGAAAGTAAGACTTAAGTATGGTTTATATACTCGACAATTTATACTCTTTCATCATATTAAAATACATAAATAGGAAATGACTCAACTTCCGTTGTTGTGACAACGCCAATACATCATTAAAATGTCATGTTTTGGATGTACCACTCATTTATGAATGTGATAAAGCTAAACTTCCGACTTCACTCAGTTGGTAGAAAACGGAAGTGTATGCACTGGTTTCTGGCTGAATGTACCTGTTCTCAAATGAATCAAGTACGTTCGAATCATGACAAATAGTAATTCATAAGAAATCTTGGCAATTCTGAGTAAAAATCAGGCAATGACGCTTTTAATGATAATCAGTTAGGTAGTAGGAATAGGAAGAAACAAGTCATGGCATACCTATAAATTACGATTGTCACATTCATTGACGCACATTCGAAACTTGAGCTGCTAGTCGCCATGGCTGAACACAAAGGTAGGAAAACGTCGATGTTAATCAATCAGACTGTCGTTTGGTATTGGTATTTTAGGTGAAGAAAGAACAAATGACGTAGCATCGACATACTGCCGTATATTGAACGTTGCTGAAGGTGCTTCGTTACCAGCTGTTCAACTCAAGGACGGAAGTACAGTGCAGACTGGCACTGTAGCTGCAATGCTGAAAAATATTGAACGGTTCAACAATGGAGAAAACCGAGAAGGGGACGAAGCTCGTTATGAATTGGAAAGATGCGTACCTGTTCTTCTCAAAGTCGGGCTTTTTGCTTTATTCACACCCGATGAATGGATCAGTACCAATGGCCAACCAGAAAATCCCGGTCGAAAATTTGTCGGTGAATTAGCTCAACAGCTTCTCACTATGCAATCATCAAAGGCTAACTAAACATTCGACACGTTGTTTGTTTTTTCGTTACACAAAAAAACAAATTGACTGCAACAGTTTTTCTGATTAAAGGCTTCTATATGATTTTCAACCAGAGATTTTTCTTCCTTTCTACGAACAGTATGTTTAACTCGCTATCACACCGTGCCACAGAGTTAGATCAGTCATACAACTGCTGAAAACTATCGATAATGATCAGTTTATTTTTGTTTTTAACGGAAAATCATCGTGTTTATAATAAAAGCGAGAAACTAATCGATTATTTCGAGGCGATGATTCCAATAGCAGGCGGATACTGAATAAAATCATCATAGAATGCTCGATCTTCAACTGTTGGACAACTTTCCATAGGTACCCATTGAAAATGAGTAAAGCCTACTTCTTTAAAAACACGTTCATAAGTTTCTTTTGACAGATAATATGTTATGTACGAAAATGAAGTGCCATCTGCTGCGTTGAATTGTGTGTATTTAACTTCCGCACCATCTGATAATCGTCCATTTTCTAAAGCAGCCTCGCGTATAAATGCATACTTTCGATGTCTATCGGTATTGTATGTACTTGCATCACCACAAATGTTGGTAATCGTAGCAAAGAAAGGTTGTTTGTCGGCTAGTTGTTTGTCGATAGCCTGTACCATTCGTTTCAGTTCATCACTCGTTCGAGCAAAATTGAGCAAATAGAATGCAGTGACAATATCATATTTCTCAGCTGGAGAAGGAAGATCTTGTGCATCTGCCACTTGATAAGTAATGCCAAGCGGATTTTCTGCTTCTTTCGCGCGCGCGATATCAATCATTCCTTGACTGATATCAACACCAGCAATCTCTTTTGCACCTAGCTGCTCTTTCAGTTTACCTGAAAAAAGATGCAGTATAAATTCGAAATTCTATTAAGTTTCGCTTACGTGTATAATGTCCATCGCCACAAGCAAGATCAAGCACACGTTTTCCTGCAAGTACGTCATTAAGTTTAGCAGTAAGATGTTCTTTTCCAAGAGTTGGTAGAAGCATTCGATAAAGAAATGTATAATATTCTACATCAACTCGAAAGCCTTCTTTCTTGGAAGCAACATAATCTGCAGCACAACTATCATATTGAGCCATGTTTTCCTATTCTTCAATTCACCAAAATTATTCAAAAAAAAACTTGTTTTTTATATACGACTAAAATAATGATATTTTATGACTATGAAAAAATTAACCATTTTATCATATTTACATCTACTTGAACTAAATGAGGCGTATCTTGTGTTGCATATGAGTCAGCAGGAAGTATATTTGCACCAGGTATTACATATTTCAATTAACCATGTGCTACAGGTAATATTTTCAATGATGAGTGGCTGTCTCAATGCGTATGATTTTTTAAATGTTATTGCAATCTTCCGAGCGCTGATTTTTACAAATAATAGTTAGAAACATGAGTCTCTAATGAGATGACACATTGTACTCGGTAGTTATATGCATTCATCCTTGGGCATTACTTCTCACTTCCTAAGGAAGGAAATGATATTAGTCATTTTATATCGACTACATATCGAAACGATTATATCACGAGCAAAACCAGCATGAATCAAGAAAAGTAGTAAGTGTCATGTTTTTGAGTTTTTCCTATTTCCAATAGAAGGATACAATAAACGCCAACGAATCTACGTCGGTATATATACATGTATATGATAAGCTCAATGTACGTTTTATTTGCAGTACACAAAAATGCGTTATCGTGCACCAAGTTATGGAATTAAGCCTCCAGCGCCTGCTCCTACAAGTACAAAACGAACGTTGCTTATCATTTGTGCAGTAATTACCATTGTGGTTGGTTCCTTATTGGTCATTCTCGGCATTGGACTTGGAGTAGGACTTGGATTAGGTTTGCACACCTCAAGTTCAAGTTCAAGTTCAGCTCAGTCCACATGCAGTGCTAAAGCTACGTGTGGTTGTCCGTCTGTTCAACCTACGATATCCTCTCGTATTGTGAATGGAAACACTGCTGCATCAAATAGTTGGCCATGGATGGTTGCACTTAACATGACCAATGGTCGACTCTGTGGTGGTACATTAATTACCTATCAACATATTCTTACCGCAGCACACTGTGTATATGATGTAACAAGTGATTCAATTCTTGCATACGCAGGTATTCAGAAGCTTTCAGAAAAGTCAAGTGGAGAGATACGGAGTATTTCTACGATCACTATTCATCCGAATTACTCCAATGTCACAAAAGTAAATGATTTGGCAATACTTAAATTGTCCTCTCCATTGAGTGCCGGTACAAAAGTTGGTTTATGTTGCTTACCGTCAAATAATGCAGCACCTACAATCGGTGATACACCTGTTTATATCGGATGGGGTCGAACAGCAGCTACTTCTAATTTCTCCGACAATTTACAACAGACAACTACACGTGTGGTAGCCTCATCACTTTGCAACTATACATCAATAACTGACAATCAAATATGTACTGGTAATACTACAAGTGTTGCATGTTATGGTGACAGTGGCAGTCCTTTAATGATGAAAATCAATAATGCATGGACGTGTGCCGGGGTGGTGAATATGGGATTGTTAACTTGTGATTCTTATGTTGTTTTCACTCGAGTAGCACCGTATACCTCGTTTATCTCAAGTGCAACATCTAGATGATATAGTTTGATAGGAATATTTTCTTTTATTTGATGAATAAAATTGCATTGTGAACGAACATGAAAACCAATTGAGAGTGCTAAACCTCTTGAATCAAATAGCGATAAAAACTTTCTTATAGTACATCAAACCGGCAACTAACGACCAAAAAAATGCTCCATAGAGATGCATAGCAAGTTGAGCAGCATGGGTATCACTAACATCGAATTGTACTGGAACACTGACGCCAAATAGGCCGTGACACATGTATATAGCAATGGAATTCATGCCCAACCAAAGAAATGGAGCTCCAGTGAACCATTGACGAACGTCAACAAGAACGTAAAGCACAGAGAGAATGACGAAAGCTAAACTAGCTAAAGTGAAGACAAATGTTAATGACCATAGATTTTTGTTGATTGGAATCCAGCTATCTGAATGGCCGCCGAAGGATAGACCTAGACCAAAACAACCACAAATGATACCCCATATTAACCATTGAGAACAAATTCGATTAACACGATTTGAGTGAACAAAAACATGACCGGCTTGAACACCCAGATAACAAAGAAGAATTCCAGTTAAATTACCCAAAAGACCTGAAAAAATCGTCATAAACATCTTTCCATAACGAAGTCGACATATTCACCCTCGGGATCGTAAGGTAGCTTGGTGGAATAGATTTCTTTACAAGTTGGCTCATCGTACAGATGAGAATTTCCCAAGACTACTCGATCGATATATCCTGCAACTCCTATAAATAGCGCATTTCTCAAAAAATCTTTGCAAGAAAATTGTCACACCTCCGGTACAATTTGAATACTTTCCATGATCATGTTTTCCACCGGGACCTATATATCCAGTCGGACAGCCGGGCACTTGAAGGAGAAACGTTACCAAGACCCAAATAATCACCACCAATGTCACGAGTAACCATTGGAGCCAATATTGAAACACAGCTCGATTGAGTTCCATACGAAACGATGGTTCTTGATGCTCATCCTGACTGTTTAGTTTATAATCTTTATCAAGGCAAAGAACGAGTATTGCTGTAAAGAAATAGCATGTAGCTAATCGTTGAAGAACACCACAAAAACGAAGATCTTTGAATTTCATCAAATGAGGTTGTTCACTCATCCCTACAAAACACATGTCTTGGGCATGAATGTATATAAAATAAGCTTGATTTTACCCAAAAGTATCAGAATTAGCGTTCGTCGACAGATTTTCACGAGCATACTCCGTTTTCGAACATTCTTCGAGCGAAGTGATCGTTGGGAAAGGACAATCGAGACGCCCATCATCCAAGTAAACCAAGGAAAAACCAGATCAGCCAATGTCAATCCATTCCAAGCTACGAAATGAAAACGAAGAACTTCATTTTTTGACATATTTCATGTCTTACTTGAATGATCGAAAAACCAATAACCACCACCTAAAACAATACGATCGAATATAGCATGTATTTGTAACTATTGAATGAAAGTACCGCCGTAGTTCACGAAGATCATTACCATCAGCGAAAATCCTCGAAAAGTGTCCAAAGAGCGCAGGCGTTTCGTAGCACGAGATTTCGTATTGGACGCAGCAGATTGATTTGTATTCAGACTACCCTGAGCAGTATCTTCAACAAGTATTTGAGCTTGTGTGCCAGTCGAGCGAAAATAATTCCAAATTCGACGATAGTCGATGTATTGCCAGAATTGAACTACTGCAGTATATAAGATCACAAATAGAACACCAAGAATAGCAGGTATTGCATAGGCACTCAATTTTCCAATCTGTTCGATTGAACATTTCGTCTCGAGCGGTGTGTTATACATAAGATGCAACACATATGTACCATGTTCATGGAATTTGTATGGTTTAAATTGGCATAGTATACTTTCATTGGATTCTGATGAACGAATTTCTAAATCGTATGCGTATTGCGTGTTAATTATTATAGTGCGATTCTTATTCGGAGCAACCATAGACATTTTCCCAAGATTACAGTTTTCACATACAACTTTGTTCCCAAATAATGTGATATTTTCCGAAGAATTCCTATTGTACATGATTAGATAAGCTTCATCCATTGACAACGATCGAGAGAGGTCATTTCCAGCCGTTTGTTCTTTGCCTCGAATGTAGGAGACAATCATAAAAAGCAAGATAGAATAGTTGACGATCATTGTTGCACACGTTTCGCTGCAACTTAAAATGATATGTTGGTTTTGTCTCTTATCTCAGGTTCTCTTTATCACATAAAGATGTCACAGTAAATGAAAGTACTTTTATCAAACTTGCTATGAACAGGCTTTATTTTGTTTGAAGGAAACATTCAGGAAGATAGTGTAGGTGTTTTGTCATGTCTATCACAAGTTTACAATCAAAATAAATTGATTATGTGGAATAGAATGGCCTTCTACCCACAATGCTAATATATGCGAAGAGAACATCATTCTCATTTGATGTCAATATTTGATCATTTTGAAATTTTGTCACTATGCAAAAGTTTATCTTACTCTCTGATCTATATTTTGATAGAATGCTTGCGGAAGAAAGGAGAAACATACCGGTGTACAAAATAACGCGTTGAAAACCAAAAATAACTACTTAATCCGATCCACTTACTTCGGTATAATGGTTGTCACTCATCAAAGCGTACTATTCGCTATTTTGCTTTTCTTGGGTTTGTTCTTTCGAAAGATTTCGTTTACCTATCAATTCAATACTTTTCTATTGAAGTTTCACAACAAACCATATATGGTCTTCAATGTTATGAATGTTCGAACTGTATGACTCCAAAAAATCTCGTCACTGTTAAAGGATGTGATTCAGGATGCTCATGCACTGTGAGTGACTTTGTACCAGCGTTATACTTTTGCAAATTGCGTCTTTCGCTTCAGAAAATAACATCGGTGACTAATGGGAAAGTAATTCACATAGGACGAGGATATACTCAATCCTGTACGGAATACAACCTCGTTCTTTTTAGTAGTGGCTACTTTCAGAATTGCTGCACAGGCGATGGATGTAATGCAGGTGTTACTCTTTCAAACAGCTTTTATTTATCCTTGATTTCAATTGTAGTTGGTTGGACTTTTACACATTGAGTCGCTGGGATGTTCATTTCTTCCTTTTTTTTTCGAGAGCACACGTAAATACATGGAAGATAAACTGGAAATACATTTGTCTAACACGCTTTTAAAAATAAACATTCTCAATGGATACATTTCGAAAACTTTATTTTCGAATATCTCGCAACGCATGAATTATTATAAGCGATTCTGTTTTGTTATTATTGAGGATATACGATACGATCATTTCGGACTTCCGGTTCAAAATTGCTCATTGTTAGTCGATGCGCTCGATGATTGTCATCTATCACGATTACAATGACGAAATATCGGTCTCGGATGATCTGTGAATAGTTATCATCAATCAGTCACATTAAAATAACGTTTGGCACGGATTTGACCTGTTATCCATAGAACCAACGAACTGATGACGCGCAAATGAACTTAATCGTTGGCCGATATTGACAAAATAGAAAATTTTGAATTCCGATTGAAAACATCTGCACTTTTCGACGATTATCAACAAACCTTCGGCGAGAATTGAACAAATAACAATAGGATCCATATGACTTATCCAATTTTGAGAGCATATCGAAGAACAAGTAACTGCGCTTTGTAAACAAATGTTCTCCAAAGCTATATTGTGTAACTGATTCTAATCATAATTAAACAACTGCGCACACTCCTTTACATTTAAACAGATCAAATTGATACGCGGCATCTTATTTGTCCTAAGACGAAGACGTACTAGTGTAAATGATGAGTATCTCATTGAACACGATCGAAAACATGTAAATGAAAAACAGCTTGTAAAAATAGACACTTTGCGGAAGTAGAAAACTTGATCAGGTTTGAAAAGAAACGATCCATTTATCTTCTTTAATGGTAATGTACGCAGAGTGTGCAACAACGACGTTTTAACAGCAGCACAGCCGTCTAAAACTTACTGAATCGTGTTTACGGGATAAAGATGCAAATACTCGGTCGACAAACGCTGCTAGGAATACGATCTTTAGTTGAAATTCTTGATTCATTTCTTCTTTTCTCGATGATTTTTATATAAAACGAAAGTATTCTTTTTCAGGATCCATAGTGCATATCTTATTTTAGGAAACACTATTATTCAACTATCAAGACGACACAGCAGACAAACATTTGTAATGGATACTTTAACATTTCTTCGAGTGGTTTATATTTGAGCTCGTCACAGAAAAGCATGCAAAAATCCTGTGACTCTTCATATTTTTTCAGTAATCAGTTCGATCACTTCTCATTTTTCACAATTACAAAGATAAAAAAGGGGGCGTACTATCTCTAATAAGGTTGATAAAGATCTGTTTTTGTGTGAATTCGAATGTTAGTAGGATTATGACAATGTTTATTGTGGCAGAATGATCTTTGTACTTCGTGTCGGAGGTGTGGCGTTGAAATGAAATAAATATAAAAACTTCAAACTAGATTCACGTAAAATAAAATTGATGAAACAACATACAAAAGAAAGATCAATACGGATTGTTGTTGATTACCTTGAGTGAACATTCCGTAGTAAAGCTATTCAATGCAATATAGAATTGATGAGATAACAATTGCAATTGACATTAACACGAGCATTCGAGACAATTGTTTATCGATATTTTTATGACTGTTAATGTGAGTTTGCAGTTGTTATAAATGCTGAAAGGTTAGTGTGCCAAATATTGATAGAAATACGATGGGAAAAATGCCTTGTAAGAAGATTTGAGTAGCGTATAAATAATAGTAAGAATATTGATTTGAATTGACATCGCAATCACCGGTTGGTGAAACTTCGAAGAAGATGAGTAGAGGAATGTTATGGAGACAAAAGAGAAGGAAAATCAGCAGAATTATTTGTTTTGTGTGGTGTTTGGCAGCGCTAAGGTTTCTCAAATGAGCATTCCTGGATGTTATTAAATACCGATCGAAGGTAGCCATACAAAAATATGTTAACGATGTTGAATCAAACGTGTATAAAATGAAGAACCGCAATTTTCATAGGAAAATCACTTGATTTGGTGAAACTGAATAACTATAAAACCATCGAAAATGATTCGAGTGATCAATGGATATAGAAAAACGATTGAATTAGAGATCGATGATGCGGGCAAGTACAAAGAACTGTGTTATTGACTTGATTCGTATTCTGATGATGACTACACCTTCATTTTAAATAACGAAATATTTAATCACAGTACTCACAGAAGTAACTATTCCTTACTTTTTATGTTGAATAGACTACGAACAAAAAACTGAATCAACCTACGCGTCTGTACTCACAGAAAATCATCTGACATATTTTCCTCCCTCTTGTCGAATGGCTTCGGGACACCACTATGAAGCAATTCAGATGGATATCAATGAAGATGGTTTTTATACTATTTTTGGCAGCATAGAGAGTATGACCGCAGACATATCAGTTTATGTGTATAAGCACAATTTTTATCCATTGATCCCGCTCGAAAATTTACTCGAGCAGAAAAGCGGCTGCAGTGCGTATGATTCAGCTCAAATTACTGTTGAACTTCAAACTAACATTCGATACATATTAGTTGTGACAACATGTTCAGGAAATATAATGGGAAAGTTTTTGATCAAACCGGTCGGTAGAAACAATGTCAGTTTTCACCGCACAGGTGAGTAGTGTGTGTGTGTGATCTCTATGATTTGTAGAGAAGCATCACAAGTTATACAAAATCTTTTGTGCCAATAGCCGTTGAAACTTAAACTTGATCTTTTTCTGAATAGATGCTACATCAGCTTTTCACATGAACTATTCATCGACACTGGGAATAAATAGTCAAAAATACAATAAATACTGCGCCAGTGAAGACCATTACTATGAAACGCTACGATTAACCGTACTTGCCGATGCATATTACACTCTTTCAATTACTAGAACTGTTAATGTCATTGATGGTCCAGAGATAAATATATACAAAAGTCATTTCGACCCACTAAATTCGCTTAAAAACTTAATTCCAACTAAGGAATACTTTTGTCGTAATATTAGTGTGATAAAATATTCACCTCACCTTCTGTATGGTGTCACGTATGTCTTAGTTGTGACAACTAGAGAATCGTCGACAGCACGATCGTTCTCAATCACTGTCTATGGCCCAACAAATGTTGGTCTTCAACGCATTGGTAAGTCTATCCATATCAATATTCAAAATTGTATCGAAAATGTTACAAGATTATAGAAAAAAAGCAGTTTTTTAACCGCTAAAAGTTTTGAATATTACCTATAGATTTTGAGATTGTTCCCTTTCAAATCGCGACGGCGCCAAGGGTGGATCAGGATGGGCTCAGTCCATCCTGATTTTGAAAAATTACCACAAAAAAAAATTTACACTATAAAAATATACAATTTTTGTAGTGAGCCTACCCTAAGTCAAAAATCTGCCGCCGCCACTACTTTCAAAGATTTCTTTAGTTGATGATACGACTTACTGTTATGTTGGTGGTGCATGTAATACTCAAGTGAAAAGTATCGGTCTGACTCTTGATGACATTCTTCGATTGGAAATCAAGCGAAACATGACAATACATGAGCAAACATTCGCCATCCGGATCAGTGCTGCGTTTTCAATAATTATGCTTACTACAGGTGTCGTGAGTAGTTTTTCCACAATGTTAACCTTTCAAAATGCTAGTTCACGAACAGTTGGATTTAGTCTGTATCTTCTTGCATCCTCTGCCACTTCTCTTTTAACAATCACAATATTCTCAATCAAATTTTGGTTCGTCATTCTCACTCAGATGGACACATCTGTTAGTTTCTCTGTTCTTCAAGGTGGTTGTAAGTTGATTGAGACTGTTCTCAAGCTATTTTTTTACTGGGATGCTTGGCTGAATGCATGCGTGGCGATGGAACGCGCAGTGAGTGTTTATAAAGGAGTGGGTTTTGACAAAGAGAAAAGCAAACGCTTTGCTCGATGGATCATCTTCATCTTACCGATTGCGATTATGGGAACGATCATTCATGAGCCATTGTATCGTCATATATTCCGACATGAAATAACTAAGGACGTATTTGCCGATGAAGAAACATTTACTAGCAGCGTCGACGTGACGGATACGCTTTTCTGGTGTATCACTACTTATCCGCAATCACTTCAGGATTACAATACGTCCATTCTCTTCATTCACTTGCTTGGTCCATTCAGCATAAATCTTTTATCCTCGTTGTTCATCATCTTTAGAAGTGCTCGACGACGAGCAGATGCTCAAAGGCAACAAACATATAGACAACATCTTCGTGAGCAGTGGAAGGAACACAAACAACTTGTCGTCAGTCCGATCATTCTAGTCCTTCTCTCTACACCACGTTTGGTCATTTCATTGTTATCTGGTTGTATAGGTGTATCTCATTATACATGGTTATATCTTTGTGGTTATTTCATTTCATTCACACCTTCAATATTGGTCTTTATTGTGTTTGTCCTTCCTTCGAATTCTTATCGAAAAGCTTTCAAAGAGTCATTTTTTCGACTTTGTAAACAACGGCAATCATAGAACAAATCATCAGTATTTATCACTACTGTAGCGTCATGATTATTTGAATAAATACATATGCAGAAGAGGATGATGAGGGTTGATCAAATGTCTCTAAGATGTCGAATACACAGTGGTGTGGAACCTTCCTCGTACATCCTCGCATGAGGTAGAAATTTTAGAAAAAACTATTATACGGAAAAAAAACTTACCCTCATTATAATTAACTATTAGCAAGCATCATTCATTCTTTCGAGAGTTTTGCATTCTACTCACAAAGTTGCTAAACATGGTTTGGATGATCCTACACTCCATTTACGAAAGGGGTCATCTGATTTTCACCATATATTGTGTATCTCAGTTGGTAATCGATTCGAGGAAACTCCTGCTATATTTGAACAAATGGCAAATTGTCTTGATGTGGAAGTATTTTACCGAAAAGTTGTTCTTCACTATGTGGATGGTCACCGGTTGAATGTCTGCTAAAACTTATGAAGAACAGCTCGAAACACATCAAAGTTGAGTATCTTACGTTGAATGACTAATATTTGGAATGGAAGAAGCGATGATCGAGAGATTTGTGAGAAAAGGAAAACTGAAACGTTTGAACAAAAGTGATGAAAAGTTTCTTGAAGCACAAAAATTTGGCAAGTAGCATGGAAAATTCTGTGATTTCTATTCTCTGGATCATAGACTTATAGGCAAAGAAGTAATGCTGCATTGAAATGCACCACCGATTGACCTAGCTGATTCATTCATCAAGTCATGTCTCGACTAAAGGATAGAAACTGGACTTTCAAGAAAAACACAAAAGTGTGTCCTTCTCTTACTGCGTGGAATAAGGTTGCTCTGTACGTGACGAAAATGAAAAGCGCTGGAGTGAATTTTCGCGGGAACGACAAGTTTTTTATCTTTTTAGAGATTCTGCATTTCTGGGTGCACTCCTACTGATAGCAAAGAATTATACATCATTTTCGCATAAGTCGTGTCAAGTTCTGCTAATCCTGTCAGAAGACAAGTTTAGAATAGCAAAATTCACAAAACAACAGATTTTGGCAGCAATAATGCGTACCTATATTTTTATCATTCTTTGTTGACAATACTCTTTTTTACGTAAGCTCAGTTCCCTAAGGATTCCTATTTTTCTGAAAGTCGTAATTGGAGGTCAGGAAATGATATAATGATGTTCTCTATATTCATACATGTGAATAAACTATCGTTCATATCTGCAATATCCTCCATGGTCAGTACAACTATCATTTACCTAAGCCGATAGCTACCTATGTATGCTCTGATTGAAACACTGTTTTACTTCTGCGCACATTGCAGTTATTGAGCCAAATTTTTCGCGGAATGTTGAGCGTATTTTGGTACGTTACCATCTACTTTAATTTGTCTATATAATAATCAATAGAAATATCACTCATTTGATTCATATTGCTCAGCGAGCATCCTCGTTTCGACAACTTGCAATCGATGTAAATCTCAATTTCAGTAGAATTAATTCTTCCATCAAATGTTGAACTATAGGCGTTCTACTTGCTTGGCAAATAGAAACTATTTCTTCATTCAAGAAGCAAATCGTTGATGCACTGTTTGCTCACGCTACATCAACATGTCGGTTGGAACTGTAAGCTGTATTTCCTTGATATTTATTTCAAATAAAATTTTCACTTGCTAGATACTTTGCCTTTCGACAAAGATTCACCAGGACATTCAGTATTGTATTGTTCGACATATTCTTCCATGAGAGTTCGTACAGCTTGTCCGATCCGTTTGTAATCGGCTTCGTTCAAATTAGCAAGAGATACACGACCTGATGGATGTTGAACACCGAAGCCTTGACCTGGCAGAAGGACGACATGAGCTTCGCGAGCAAGTCGAAGTAACAAATCCGTCGCATTTATATGAGAAATTAACCATTCGGCAAATTTACGTCCGTGAATACGTTCTCCAATTTCTTCAAGATCAAGAATGCTGTAATAATCAACGCCAGTGTCATCTTCTTCTTTATCATCCAAACTAATACCAATAGCACGATAGAGTGCGCGTTTACGATGTCGTATAAGTCGCTTGAGTGCTGTTTTATATGAATCCGACGTGTCAATAAGTGCAAAGAGAGAGAAGAGAACCATCTGGACTTGTTGAGGTGTGGACAAGCCAGCTGTGTGGTTCAGTGCTACTGAACGACTATCAGCTACTAATCGATCGATGAATTTCAGCGAATCCGGATCCGGTACGATTGATTGATAACGTTTCCGGAGAGCGATTCGTTTTTCATCGTCTAGCGCAGCAATCTGAGTATCGAGAACATTGTCACGATGTGTTCCGATGACACCGAGACGCCAGCCTGTTGCACCAAAATATTTCGAGTATGAATAGACGAGGATTGTGTTTCTAGGACATACAGCAAAGAGTGAAACGAAATCGTCAGCAAATGTACCGTAGACATCATCTGTGAGAATGATTAAATCAGGACGTTCAGCGACGATTGATGCAATATAAATAAGACTCTCATTGTCAAGCTTAACCGAAGGTGGATTCGATGGATTAACAAGAAAGAAAGCTTTGATCGTCGGATCACGTAACTTGTCTAATTCGGTTTTTGGATATTGCCAATTTCGATCTTTATCAGCATTGATATCGATGACTTCGAGTCGATAATCGCTCATATGTGGAATTTCTAGATAAGGTGTGAAGATCGGTGCACCCAGTGCAATCTTATCACCGGGTTTGAGTAGATAATTAGTACGTAATGAATTGAAGATGTAAGTCATCGCTGCTGTACCACCTTCGACTGCAAATAGATCGAATTTGTCGATGAAAGGCTACGCAACGAAACAATAATGATTAAAATAATTTCAATAGAATATCTCACTTGATTACCGATCATCTCATTTCGTAGATAATGATTAACAATCTTTTCAGAGAGTGGAAGCATGCGATCGGGCACTGGATAGTTACAACCTAGTATACCTTCACACATTTCGTAGAGAAATTCTGAAGCATCAAGGCCGAGTTGATCGCGAACGTAGGAGACAGCACCACGGAGAAAAGCGATACCATCGGTATTCTTGTTTTCACGAGCGAATAATTCAAATCGTTCTTCGATTCGTTCACGTTTAGGAAAACCGCCGACACCTTCAGGTAAATAAGCAAATGATCGTTCCGATTCACGCATGGCAAATAGGCCCAATTGAAAAAAACCATGTCGAGGGACTGTTGATAAAAAGTTTGGATTCCCGGGGCCAGCATTCAAGATAGATCTATTCTCCGGCCGGAAGACTGTTACATCACCACCTGCTGTCTTGATCAACACATCTTTCAGTTCGAAAGGACTGAGGGAATCCAACTTATTCATCTTTTCGTAACGACAAAATGAAAATAAATTCAGTGTACATGGTTGTATTATAGAAAGAGAAAACAAGAAGACACGACAGACTAATTGCTATTCTAGTTCACGTGGTACGTATAGAAACGAAAGAAAGAAATGGTTATTTCGCTTTGTGATACATGTGCGTACGGTCGTGTCATCAATAGATTTTTCTCTTATTGTTTACTGGATGAAAACAGTAAAGAAATTATGACGACGATAATTTAAGAGAAGCTTGTTTTTGTATCAATCGATTATGAAATGGCAAGGGTATTAATGATGAAACCATATCTTTATTTACAATTTCTCATCCTTCAAATCTAGTTTCAAATAAAAAAATGAATGGAAATATTTAACGTGAGCTCATTGTATATTTAGAAAGATTATAAGAACAGCGAAAAATATTTATATAAATATGCACCGACCTCTCCAATCTACCAGTTCACTCCATTGCACGAATGCTTGACTTCATCCTCCTTTTCCTGATTATTCAATCAAGTGTTGTTTCTCGACCATTCGAGGATGACAACAAATTACTATCATTAATCTTGGCAGAAGATTACCCTGATAATGGGTATACAGTTGTACAATCAAAAACAACACTCTACGATGTGACTGAAGACTTTGTTATATTCGATCCATTGGCTACGAGTAACAATAATGGTCGTCGTTTGCTTCGAGCATTGATTGAGAAGAATCGAGAATCGAAAGCACTAACAATTGCTTCAAACCCATCGAAAGGTTATGTGATTGATAAAGATGATCAATTTTCAAAATATTTCATCGCAAATGGTGGTGGATGGGATAAACTATACAAGGAGAATCCCAAAGTTCGTGGTCTAACGGCAGTTTCACTGCCAGTCTACGATCGACAAACAGGTTTAGTCTTAGTTTATAAAAGCTTTTCTCAAGATTATCTGGCTGGTCAAGGCGATTTAATCCTTTATCTCTTTGACGAGAGCAATGGATCGTTAAAAGAAATATCACGACGAAATCTTTGGGTTTCGTAAGGGAAAATATTTTCAACCTTGCTTAATTTACCACTTTTGCTTATTTCGAATAAACCGAAATACGATCACAATTGCCTTGCATCTATATACAATAAAACGACCGAGAGAAAAAATCTCGAAAGTTCTTATCAGTGGTGGTTAGATGACTATATTTCATTTAAAATAAAATAACCCATGGATACTCGCTTTACTAATAATTGAATAATAATATAGTTAGATATAAATGAATTTGTGTTATATATGTTTTTTGAATATGGATCAGAGTATTAATCCTTAAAAGCCGAAACATCCCTTCCAAGGGACATTGCATTAATGGCTATAGAACGAAGGAATTAAGTCGTATCCACAAGAGCTACTATTTTATCGAATGAGAACAGCCAGAGTGATAGTATCATAAGAAAAAAATCGTGTCAAAATAGTGGTCAGACACCAAAGTATAGCTTTTAGAGTGTGTGACTTTTCAACCATAGTTGGTTACTTGGATATTCCTGTCTGATGATATATGCAACGTGGATTTCGAGTAATATCATCAGAAATAATTCTAAGCTATAGTATAAAACAACTTTGTGCGTTTTAAACTCTTCTACTAAGGTGTTTTGAAGGTATAAAAAGTGCCATTTTATGGGAACTTTTGGGCATAATCCTCAGGGTTATTCGCAAATTTTCGCTCTATAGATAATTAGAGATATCTTAAAATTTCATCAGTATGAACTTACAGTGATCCTGAACCATATAACAGGATCACCCAAGCAAAAATTTATAACGATCATACTTCACCCAGGTCATCTGGGTGGAAAAATTTTTTAGCACCACCCAGCACTTCCAACCACGGTTTGTGCATATTGGGGGTCTAAACTCTCTATTTATGTGATTCATTCTTTCTCCATTTCACAAAAACCCTGTTCGGCTTTTAAGGGTTAAATGTAAATCGACTTGTTACTCATCCTCACTTCTCTGCTTGAATCATATGAAACACTATCAATATTCATTAAACTACAGTATTATCTGTTTTGGACAAGCTTGGTGTGAAATTCTCTTGCTGAATGTTGAAAACATTCTCTCAAGGACATTTGTACCAGAATGTTTCAACTTTTTATCTTTTCACTCTTTATAGCTGTGCTTTCCCCTCTCTCTCTCTCTCTCTCTCTCTGATAGAAGGTAAGCAGATTAATGTCAAGTCAAATACTGTATTCATCACGCATACTTATGCTTTCAGTTTACATGACATACGTCATTCAGATTTGAAATGAGTTAATTTTTTTATAATTAAGTTTTTGATAAAAAAAATTCTATCTCTTGTTGCAATATTGCATGACTTAGCACTTTTAGTATTCATTCTTCGATGAAAGTACTTTCACATTGGTAGAGATATTTTTATTAGAGAAAAATTTATTGTAACTAGAGACGAAATAAAACAGGATTTTTTTCATTTGCTCTATTTTTCTGTTGAGACGCATCTTCCACGAGCGTATGCCATACTCATACGAAATTTGAAATCTAAACTCAGTAGAATAACCAAGATCGCCATCTTAATGGAAGTTAATTTATCGGAATGATTAATTCATTGTAGAGAGTGAAACTCGGCACTATTTTGTTTTCTGATTCATTAATCTAAGAACAGGACACATAATCTTTAGTCAACAGTTGCTGTTAACGATCGATTCTTTTTCTTTACACTATCACTATAACGTTTCAGGAAAGATTCTTGAGTGCATCAATTTGTTGCTCTTTTTCAGCTACAGAACAACATTTTCATCACAAAAGCGTGTCAAATTTTATATTAAGAGAAACATTCTTCGCAAGTTCTTCCTACAGCCGTGCGTTAACAAAATCTCATCACAGCCCATAAAAGGTACTGGCATTAGAGAAAAAAAGGATGTCTGGTATTACCTCAACAACAATAGACAATATTAGAAACATACTTGTATCGTCTATGGGAATCAGCTACATCGTTATTGGAACAATAGGTGGTATATTTAATATTCTACTCTTCACGAGACGCTCCCTAAGAGTTTTATCGCCGTGCATTCCCCTTATGCTCGCAGCTAATGTCGCCAATATGATCAATCTCTATTCGTACACTCCATTACGTACACTTGTTGGCTTTCAAATTACATTCGTTTATTATTCATCAATCGCCTGTAAACTCCAATTTTACCTGTTCTATNATGATTTCCCCAATCAACAACATAAAGATTTCCTTCACCATCAAACGATAAACCGAGAGGAGAAGACAATTGATTTGGTTCATCTCGTTCTCCATTTCCACCAATAATTATTTCACCTTCTTCATCTCCTTCACTCCATCGCATTATTCGATGATTCTCACAATCGGCAACATAAATTCGACCCTCTTGATCAACAATGATTCCTTGAGGACCATACAGTTGATTCAGATTCTTTCCTTTTCCATTTCCACCAGCAACAACAATTCCTTCCTGCGCATCTTTTCTCCATTTCATCACACGATCATTTTCCCAATCTGAAACATAAAGAGATTGTTCGTCATCGACAAACAGAAAAGTTGGATAGTTGAACTGATTGAGTTGATCTCCTCTTCCATTTCCACCAGCAACTAATGTTCCTTCACCCTTTTCTCCCATTTTCCATCTTCTCACTTCATCTTTCCCCCCATCAGAAACATAAACAAATCCAAATTTATCCATTGTTAACCGAGAACAGTCGAAATTATGAATGAGAACCTCCGACTGATTTGTGTTCAAAAACCATCGCATTACTCTTCGATTTCCATAATCAGCAATGATGATCGAATTATTTTGTTCATCAACAATCACATCCGTTGGATAATTCAATTGATTCAAACTGTTTCCTTTTCCATTTCCACCAGTCACAATTGTTCCTTGATTTTCGTTTCTTTTCCATCGAACAATTCGATCATTTCCCACATCCGCAATGAAAATATTTTGATGTTTGTCGATAAATATTCCTTCAGGATTTGAAAGTTGATTTAATTCTTCCCCGTTTCCATTTCCTCCACAGATTATCGGTCCATTTTGTTTCCATTTCTCCAACTTTGATTCTGCAAAGACGAAAATTCAGTTGATCTTTCGTATTTGAATTCATTGTTCAACAATGTTGTGTATGAGAAATAGAAATTTTTCGACTTACTTCTTGTTGATTTCACTGAGATTTTTTTGATAAATGTTTGTGAATCTTCTTCGATGAAGATTTCTGATGAATCGTTGAATTCCTTGGTGATCTTTGTTAATTTTTCTTCCAGATCTTTCAAATTCATTTCGTTCACTTCATTTTCTTTTTGAATCTCTTTGATTTCTCCAATCAGTTTATTGAATTTCTTTTCAATATCGACGAGAAATCCTTCATTTGCTTTGAGAAATGTTTGTCGACATTGTTGAGCTGTTTGTCGAATAATTTCGATCGAATTCTTTTCCCATTGATCAATTTGAATGAAGAGAGAAGAGTTTTGNGAACAGAAACCTACGTATTAGGCTTCTATGTTTCGATAAAAATAACTTTTCTTGAAGTAAAAGAGTACGAATTGAAGACTGTTGAATAAATGAGAAGCTCAATAATAATGTGGAACATGATTCTTTAGAAAAAAGAGTTTACTAAGTCTTTGCACTAATATCATTTGCTATCGAAGTTTGATGTTTGAAAGAGCTCAGACTTGTATAATAAAGGAAACAAATGATAATTTAATTAAACATCATCATTAAAAGTGCTTTAGGATTCCATAAAGAAATATATCAGGTAGAGCATACTCACTGACTATTGAGAAGCGCCACCATAGAAAACTATAGGAAGTGCGCAGATGAATAAACTTCAAACTGAAGAAACATCCGATTCTTTTCTTTCCGATCAAGTTCTAATTCATTATTTATTGGAATTTATTTCTATCAACTAATGTTTTTCTTCACGTCGCACCTTCATTCATTAGAAATATTCCTGTCTTTTTTAAATGGCAGTCGGACGGGTCACTCCATGATAGAGAAAACATTGATTTTCTCCTAGTTTACGTTCAAAACGGAACACCTGTGCATCTGTACCCCAATCCGTCAGTAAAACAGCATGATCGACATGTGGTGAACACGGACCACGATAAACCCCGCTTCCATATCCACCCATAAAATCAGCATTAATAGCAATAGCGACAGGACCTTTGGATACAAGTCGTATGAGTAAATCATCATTGACTGTGTCCCAAGCATCGTGATATGTTCCTTTTTTTATCAAAGAAATGTGTCGCACCCATACGTTGAGCAAAACGTTCGCTACATGCATGTGCATTGAAATTGGTATCATGAAGACCTTGATATGGATAACGAACTTCAGTTGCTAAAGCTGTTTTAGGCGATTCAACCATCGAAATTCGGTGACCAACAGCCGCCTTTGTCTATGGAATAGAACATTCGATCAGTTGTTGCTCTGATAGAGGAACAGCATCCCGTTCATGTCGAATTGCATAAGCACTTTCTAATGCAGCAGCGACCCTAAACATTAGAAAAACATGAAAATATTGTCAAATTTGAATTTATATCCATACGCAAAGAATGTGCAAGTTCCACATCTACCTTGATTTTTAGCATTAGTAACAGTTCGATAGGTCATTGATGTCCAATCGAAATCTTTGGGATAACCATTTGGCAAAAGATCCCCGCGTCCACCCCGCCAGGCAAAGTCAAGCGCTGCACAACATTCACTTGGATTTCCTGATGATCGATAGCATTGTCAATCATGGTGAATACAGCCGTTTGGTACAACACCGTTGACACTACCATCATAACTACATTGAGGACGATTCCCATCACCTAAACCAAGAGCTGAGCAACAAGCATTGGGATTCGATGATGATGAACGAGTTTGCACAGACGTTGGCGGTGGATTTGGAATAGGAGCAAAGGCTAATTGTGGCGTGAGAATTCCGGTTTCGAATTCCGACTGAGTTAAATCGGAAAACTGATTGACGGTCTTTGTATAAGTTCGGTTAACTTGGGCATTATGTCGTTCAATTTCGTGTAGATTCGAGAGAAAAATCAACGAGAGTGCTGCAGAATGGGCCAGCACCTTCATATTTTGTCTGTATATATTTTTTCAATATATCGTATTAGATATTTATAGTCTCAAACATGACGAGGTCGGTTAAAGTGAATTCATTCAGTGAAAGGCAGAGGTGGTAAGATAAAACAGTCAGGCTTCTGGTATTTGATAGCCATGATTTACAATATGCCGTTGACTTTCACCTTCGCTAATCGATATTTTAAAAGGAAAAACGTAAAAGTAGAATACGTATATGAAATCTGAGAGCGAGAATCTGAATGTTTCTGTCTTACACCCTCATTCGTTGATGAGAATCTTTCAAAGCGGTTTATGAATGATAAATAAGAGAAAAAGGAATGTTCAAGGATTTGATAAATAACAAATATCATTCGATGTTAATGCTTCACTAAAAATGTATAATTCATCAACAACACCAACAAACTGTTTCATTGAAATCGATCCTCTTTGACAAAAACTTTATTTGTTGGTGACGAACTAAGGAAAACATCAGATAAGATGAGTCCATTGATTCAATGAAAATGAACTTGAAATCGTCATTGAAGTAAGTTGATTTGATGAATCAATGAAAGTTACATTGAATGAACCATTCGAAGAAAATCCCCACAAGGAAAAACAAACATCCACACCCTCCAATTGTTTGAATTCCATTTGAATTGATGGCATCGATCAGATTTGATTCAGAGTCAATGAAAGGTGAGAAAGATTCAAATTGAAAATAACAGAAAAGTATTGCATTTAAGTCGATTTCACATGGACTTTTAACTCGATAACTGGTTCCAAAATGATCAATAGAACCAGAATAACAAATAAACGGTGATGAATCTCCACCAGCCGGTCCACCACCAATTGTAAATAATGCAACTGTTGCACACAAATGATTACTCACAGTTCTATTCCCATCTAATAAACCATTTAAAGAAATCAACTGCTGTTTTACTGTCGAATCGTACACAAATGTTGCGTGATACCATCGATTTATCCTTAAATTTGTTTTGGCAAATGTATCATCGCTAAAAAATACTAGACGAAGAAGTTTATAACGAACATTGAGACATAAACAGTGATCATTTGTCGATGATTGGCATTCACCAGTAAAAATCAATTGTAAATGAACGATTATTCAATGGAATATGATTTCTAGTCGAAAGATATTTGTAATCAGTATATGTAAAGTTAACAGATAAACCAATTCATCCAGGAACATAATTCATCGGAAATGTTTCATTCATTGGATAATTACCAACAGTATCAAATTTTTTTTTTTTTTTTTTTTTTTTATAAACGCTTTATTTATTTCTTATGACGAATTCGCCTTTAGGCGCTGACCGTCTTATCATAAAGTGAGCTTCAAAGAGACACCGGCAACTGTAGAAAGAAGAAGGTATAAGTGGACATTAGCAAGATTATGAATACTAGTCTGCTGTATAGGCAGAGAGGAACCTTCGCATCGAGATTTCACGCGATTTAGTTCAAGACAAACTCGCATAGGCGATCGAAAAAAGTCGGTTCCTCATTTTTAAGATATGATGTTAGTCTCTTGTTTGGCCGACCCGCTGGCATGTACTTCATACATGCTTTAATTCGATAATGATAATAGATCGTGTTCAATAAGAATTTGTATTGTAATGCATATTCCAAGAACACCGGTTCGTGCAGCTGAATATTTTTCATTCGTTTTACCAACGATTTTTTG